CATTCAATTTGGTATCGAACCAACATCACGTTGATTCTGGCGGGAGAGTAGTGTAGTGGCATTGGACAATAGCCACACAATCCACAAAGCTGTGAACACGAGACTACTCAGAAAATAGATATTCAATATTTAACGCGGAGAAATACCTAACAATGGAGAAGGCTAGGACGAAAAAGGCACTGTTGGGCGGAATACAAACGAACTGATAACAACGGCGCATACGGGCAATACAAACATATAAGGAACATATGCACAAAGGCAATAAGAGAGGACATGCTTCAGTACCAGATAAAACTTATCGATAAATTTGTCTCCAATCCGAAAAGCTTATTCCGTCATGCAGCCTCTTATCGACAGGCCAAAACTGGAGTTTCCCGACTGCTAGTTCATAATGGCCGACCAATAACGACGGTGACGCCGCTAACCTTCTGGTTGGACAATACTCTCGGACATTTCAGCCGACCAACATCAACTATATTGATGAAAGCTTCATCTGCAACTGTACAGGACTTTCCGAACCACAAATAACACAACATAAACAGCTTGAGAAGTTGCATTAGTTCAAGAACAATAATTCTTAAAAGTCAAACTTATTTATAGACACTCATTATTTGACTTTAACAACACAAATCACGGGAGTAATTATAGTCAAGTGATTACTCCAGTCACTCATTAACACTGAAGCGAACTTTGTTACAACATTTGGATTTCAACTACTAGGTTGTAGGTTGGACCTCTACCCCACCTATTAAGACAATCGAGTAGTACCACAAGCTCTCACACTAAAGACGCGGCTTTAAACTGAGTATGCGGCCAATCCATGTGTATATACCTTTGAATTTGTTATAAATTATATAAGTGGTACTTCCATTATACACTAAGAATGACGAGAAGTCTGTGGTCAAACACCTCCAATCTAAAAGCATCTCTGTTGAGGAATATCAAACACTAGATATCTGCGAATTATGTGCAGCCTTTGATGAACAGTTAGATATCTTTCAGGTACCAAATGTTATGTAAGTTCGCAAATCCCAAACAAACCCTCTGTATAGAGGCCGTTAGTGACCAGACATTATCAGGATTGAAGTAACTACACATATAAACACTGAACAGTAGTCTACAAACGGTCTTTTTATAACCTAGTTATAGTACGCTACTCAATTTTTGGCAGGTATGGAACGCGGACCAAACATTCTTAGGTACTAGCTGGTTGTTAATAGGACTCCGTGATTTTGTAGTGTCTTTATTCAACATGACGATGTCAGTATATTCTAAGAATATTAAAAAAAGAAGAAATTGATTAGTGAAAAGCTGGAGATAATAAATGTATAACACTCATTAATATGCTTACAACTAGAGTACAGTAGATAAAATCTAATATTGAATACAAATATTCTCATTTTATCAATAAACCTTTCGAAACTATTGCATTTTGCTATTAATATCTACATCTAAAAGATATGTTTGCTTAAATTAAGTATACAAACGCCAAAGTCATAACATATTCAATACAAATCAATCTATTCATATTTCTAACAATTGATCGATCATAAAAATATTTATTTCAGCTGACAATTTATTTGATTAAATCACGTAAAACAGTTAGATTAATCCTATAGCAAGCTTTAATTTCTTGAGCAAGATTCAAGAAAATCAATGCAAACTTTTGATTACTAAAGGAATAACTGTGACAAAGCCAATTTATAGGGCGTCGTACATTCAGGAATTGATGATAACCTATTATGTCATAACATCTTACTTAATATTATAAGTTAGACTCATTCACACTTACTGATAACAGACAGGTTAAATGAGGTAGAATATCAAGCGATTGCCTACTAGGCTTCAACAGTGATTATTTGTTTTACATTGATACGACGACGAAGCGTCAAACATAAAGGTAAGGTCTTAATTTATTGGAAATTAAGTGATCTACAGTACAGACACTTTCCAGTCACCTATGACATTTAACCATGTTTATTTTTCTGTGGATAATTTATGTATTAACATGTCATTTTATTAAGTAAAAAACTTACTCATCCGGTTAGTGACTTTATTTTTGGTATCAGTTCATCAGGGAGTTTGGGTCAATAATCTAGTCTGGTGAGCATCCATTACTAAGACACGGAATATAATTTATCAATAAGTATTGTATTTATTAGTGATAAAGGTGATTTCAAGTTCTATCAAAGGTATGGGAGTGATTGTCACTTACAGGTTGCTAACAAAGTGGAAGAATACCTCTTATAGGAGGACCTAGAAATTAGGTCGGAAGCATAGACACAGTCCTTAAGAAACAACTGCTCGAGATCAATCACAAACGGAGTTTTCGTGAGTAACTGATGTGTCGGGTCCATACTTTTATGACCTTACCCCTGACAAAAGGGATCTACAGGGCAAAGTGTAATGTTGTGACTTGAGGCTATAACGACGCGATCCGTATAGGATGCATCTATGCCGACATGAGACTGATCAATTGCAGTCCTAAACAACAATGGGAAGACACATGTAAAACAACACCAAGTGAATTCAATGTGTGATGTCCCTGAACTTTCCTAATCCACTGTTCCTGTTGTGAGAAGGCAGTTTCGAACTAGATATTGATTGGTCAGTTAAAGGAAAAACATTACTGCAACTCTGTATAGTCAGGAGTATAACTTAGCTCTCAAAACGATGACTTTTTTGTTTTTAGTGTAGTGTCGGCTGTTATGTCAAGCCCACATAGCTTATTCTAGCTTCCACACAGGCCAATTTTCTCATCTTGAGTCACATTTTGACTTTGTTATTTATTCGCTTATCAACCTTGACTATTTTTATGTAAACGTATATGTGTACATTTCTTATCTTACTCATCACACGTCTGTGACCAATTTATGTCTGACTATAAATATCGATTGACTCTTGGTTAAATCGAGTTGGCTAACATGACTTCTCCACCACGGGTCGCTTCGCTTCACTCTCTTCTCTTCGCTCCTCCGATCGATTGTCTGTTCAGACCAGCGGTTGCATGAAATATGCGCATTCAAAGTTTATCCTCGTGTTTGACTTACTTAATTCCGTTATTCACTAACGCAAGTTGAGTCGATAATAATATAGGAAGATTGACGATATGTATATTTCAATAACAATCATTCATCTGATCTAACTGGAGTCAGATATAGGGTCACCAAATTAGTTTTGTCGCTCTTCAATCTACTTGCCTGGCGTGGTGACCCAGAAAATCAAGTTTTCCAACACATGTACCTCAAATAGGTCAATCATATTAAGCAAGCGTGACCACAACATCAAAATGATATTTAGTACGAAAGGGATATCCATTCGTTAAACAACCCCTAAAAATTCCACATTACAAATAACAAAATCGCCCTAGTAACAAATGTGGATGATATTTTAATGTGAATCACTGAGTGAAATGGAGGAAGAGAATAAATACAGTTATTTTCAAAAGAAATGACTGAACAGAAATTTAAATAATTGTTCAGCAATACAGTGAAATAATAATTAGAAACATCAAATCTACTTTTGGATTCATCGTTTTTCTTAAAGATTCGGTAATTTCTCAGGGTTGACATTTGCAACTAAATTTGATAATTTTATGCGGACATAGTGAACTTCTTGAGAGTATGTCTCAAAACTACGTACAATGACAGGTTTGTTATATCTTTTTTAAGTAACATTTTGGAGTAGAAACGTAAAAACGCGTTTCATTACTATCGTAACTTAACAGAAAAGTGAATAATTGTTCATTGACACTTACAATATGATAGATACTGAGTTCAAGTCTCAATGTAAACATCTACAATGGGGATGTAGCTGACCGATCTAGAATAGTACGATACACGTATTATGGATTCAATTGCCACAAACTATTCAAGAAAATATGACTACGCTAAGTGATATTATACACAAATTTACGATTATTCTGAATAATTTTTGTAGTCTTTCTAGGTAAGAACATGAGCATATTCTCATAAAAGTGAGTTTTTAGAATTCCTGCACAATTCACTAACAATTTGTTCCGTTAACCTATAATAATAATAAACTTCAGTTTTGGAGATCAAGTCAGTAGTGGAAATAAGCAAAATAGAAATTCAAACAACAACTAGGAAAGTCTCGGGTTAACCAAACAATGTTGAAGAAATTCTAACAGCCCACTTTGAATTTAAAGTATATCCTAATAATGCTGTCTAGAGAGACAATGAATTCTTTATAGATTAACTAATCAGCTCAACGTACATGGAATTTCTAAAAAAAAAAACAAGTCCGTGAATAAACTTATTCTAGTAAAGAAAATACGATGCGGAATTTATTTCCTTTCGCAAATAAACAACACTAGAAAACAAATAAAATTGTAATCAATTAATTACCCGAAAGTTAAAAATGTACACTTTTTTCAAGTATATCTAATAATGTGTATGAATGAATGCGTACGTTTGTACAATCCAATTTTCGTCCAGTTTAAAACAAACCAAAGTTATATAAATGTATAATTTACTGCAGCTAATGTAGTGGTTTGGTTCCAAGCGTGAAATTATTGAATAATAATCTGGATTATTTTTCATTAGAACGGAACAAACGTGAATAAAGTCAACAGGTAGAGTAGTAGAAGGAGAAACAGAAGAACATTGGAGGGAAATAGTGTGAATGATAGTTAATGATAACAAAGATATTCTGGTGAGAAGTTACTTGTCTGAATAAAATAAATTGTAGAATATAATCGCCCATGGGTGTGCACAAGAGCGCACGCGCGTGTATGTAAAGAGAATGAAGTAAACACCAATAACAGTGAAAACAACGACAATAGCAACAACAGCAACGACAGGAAGTAGGAGGAAACGAAGCTACGAAGAAGGATTTGATTGAATATTTTTATTTAAAAGAATCTGAAAAGATCTATGTATGGATTCACTTATCCATATGGTTAATTATTGTTAGTAGATTTCCGTTGTGTGGCAAAAGAGAATATAGGTGATGCAACGATATATATATATATATATATATATATATATATATATATATATATGCCAGATTTATCACAACAGGAATATTTTATATAATCAGTAAACAATATAGAAATGAATGTGATTATTACAGAAGTGGTAGACCTGCTTTCTCACGACATTTTTGAACAGTAGCTCGCAACATGAACTGTCGACGAGACAATTCGCGTACTTTCTGAAATAAAAGAAATAAACAGCATACGAAAGTAGTTTAAAATTAAAATGTTGAATTAGATTGCGTGTACAATGACAATACAGTAGTAAAATTAAAATAGTCTTTACATTTCAAATACCAAATGATGACCTAATGACGTGTCCAGCTGCTTAATTCTTAGTAAACAGAAAGCCCAGTGAAACAATACGTGTTATAATTAAAATAGTTTCATAATAGTTAGGAGCCAAGTTAATTCATAAAATTAAGAAAATTATATTTTAATAGTTGAGATCATGGGCCAATTGAAGCTAGACCACATTGAAAAACCTGGAAGCACTGGGCGGCCGTTTCGTTCTACTGCTGAGGAGTCCCACAGTAGAACGAAACGGCCGCCCAGTGCTTCCAGGTTTTTCAATGTGGTCTAGCTTCAATTGACCCATGATCTCAACTATTAAAATTAACATAATATCCACAAAACCCCTTTTGATACTAAAATTATATTTGTAAAGATTACAGCGATTGAAAAAAGCTTGGATCACATTACCTACAGATATATAAATATACGCTTTAAAGTAATGGAGATTACGTGTGTTTTGTATACTACTGCAACTACTGACAACAATAACAATAATAGTTATTACCACACTAGTGCCCAAACGTTATCCATATCTAAGGTGAACCCGAAATGAATCTACGGTATTCATGTCAAGAATTACTTGGCAACCATCGCCCCCAAATAACCTGATACAGTCGAGGGTGGATAGTCCGACATCCCTCGCGAAATGCTCTCACATGGCCCCGCGTATACAATCACTGACAAGGAAGTTCTACTCACTACCTTCTCGCAGCGCGTGTGTTGTTTATGAAACTGAAAGTACGGAAAGCAAATGTCCGGCGCTTTAATTGGGTTGGTGGTTATGGAGGATCCACCTAGGGGATTGGAAAACCCTGGTTCCAAAACAATGGTGCACATGGGCTCCAGGATCCTTAGAGAACAAATGGCGTATGAACCGACTGTTGGTCATCGGACTGCGTCTGGTGACGTTGACCAAACCTCCAGGTCGAAGTCTCCGGGTGTGGCCCCCTAAGGAAACCACCTGCTTCAGTTTGGGAGCGCAGATAGTGTTCCAGCCCTCATACAAATCAAATGACGAAGTGTGGTGTATATATATTTGGTGCCTTGTTGTACCGATGTTTATGTATTTAAGTAAGTAATCAGTTTATCGCAGTTAATACATATATTATAATCTGAAACAAGATCATTTAACATCACATCTACTCTCCGATTCATTGGGAAGGACTTACCAGGAGTTCTTAATCGTAAAACAGTGTAGCTGAAAAGTTTGTTAGTGCATATTAGCTTTTATGACAATAAGTGAAACTATTAATTAATACTTGTATTGCATTATCTGTACTGAACTTAACTTTGATCAGGAAAGTAATGTCAGTTAGCAGTCGCAAAAGTTGATATTTAATCTTCCTTATAATTCTCAGCAAATATAAAGTAATCATTTGTACGACTCAATTTAATTGAAAGGTGTTTGAATATAGAACAGTATTATATAAAGAAATGTTAATTTGGCGCATTACAATAATTTTTTGTGGCATACTAACAATGGCGTGTATGCATATTGTAAGCTAATGATATTGAGGTCAACAACTGATGTGAAGATAATGATGACATGAATGACTAAATAAACTACAAATATGATCGATCAAGTCACTTGGTATTGTTTACTTTAATCTTCCCATTGATGTTTAGGACTGTAATTGATCAGTCTCTTATTGGCATATATGCATTCTGTGAGTATTGCCTTAATTCACAAACATTATAAGCAATGATGTATAGTGATTAGCAGAGGAATCCAGGAGGTGTGTTTCGTCCAATTTGGGACTCGTCTGCTGAATACACCTGTATCTCAGAGTTCATGTTCACTCTGGGATGTTTGAAGTGAACGGTACTGGGTTCGAGTCCCAAAGTGAACATCAACTCTTCGAGATGCAGGTACATCTAGCTGACGAGTCCCAAATGGGACGAAACGCGCGTCCTGGATTCAACTGCTAGCCACTATCCATTTTCGCTTATAATGATCGGTAAAGTTTGATCAATACTATGGATTATGGTATAATACCAGTGATATTGGTTATTTGCTTACGGACTATTGCTACTACAACCAATAATAATAAGCAAAAAGCAAGAAGAAGGAGAGGAAGGAGGAGGAGGAGAAGAAGAATGAACAGTTAGTCACCCGTTTTGAAAGAAAGCTTGATTGATAGACCGAAGTGATGTAAAAAGTGGACAGTCACAATTTATGAAGAGCTTTCCACAAATGTGGGTTGGCTCGAGTTGCCATACCACATTAGCACGAAGAGATCAAGTTAACAAGATGAACAGAAAAAGAAATGGAAATAATGTAGCGAGAGATGGTAATGAGGAAGGCTAAAGATTGAGAATATGTATGAATAGAGTGTGGCTAGCAGTGGAACGCAGGAAGTGAGTTTCGCCCCGCTCAGGACTCGTCAGCTGGATAAGTCTGCATTCGAGAGTTGGTATCCACTCCAGGACTCGAACCCAGTAACATGTCGCTTCAAATATCAATGCGCTATCCACTTGGCTATCGAATTCAGATAGTCACTCAGTTGTATTAAAATACATGTATTCTACAAAAACTTGTGTTATAATCGATGTGTTGACGCAATCCGCACAGGATATATATAGTGTGAACGTGGGAGAAAAAATGATTCAAAACTTTTACGTTTGGAACTAAAAGGCTGTGAATTAGTGTTATAAAAATGTAGCGTAAGAGAGGTTTATTGTAATAACCTATAATTTGTACTGAAGATTTCCCACTGTCTCCAAAAATATAGTATTGAACAAAGCGTGAAGGGGTGGCTTGACGATTAAAGTATTAAACTTTGAAAAAGTAATTTGCCGGCTCAAACGTCACTTACATATCTACCACAGTTTAGGGAGCTTGACAGTATTTCACTGGCCCCCATGCCTGTGGCTACTAACAGACGGGTACAAAAATAACTACTTGGTAAGATAAATTACGTTCCATCATGAATAAGACAATCATTTTTTTATTGAATCTTATATTTTATCAGCATATTGAAAATATAAGTTGCGATTTATTTATCTGTTATCTCAGAATATGTGATTGAGTGATGTGTCAAACAGTCACAACATAAAACCTAGTGCGTATGTACAACGGTTCAAGTTGATAACCTGTTAGAACAAAGAGACGAAATAGTCATTTAAAGTCTCTAACCATTCGTTACGATAATCACGCGGATACCAATAGGGTGGTTTACACCTGTTAACATGGATCATTCCAATTGTGAACTGCTGCCATGTTTTTCTTTCTTTCAGCCTACTCCTACATCAGACAACATCGCCCGTCAAAATAGGCGGTGGTTGGGTATGCGTAACACATGTCCCCACCACCTCAGTTGATAGATAATTGCTACCCTATCAATGGATTTGTCATCCTTACTTAATATTCTGTTCCTAACCGAGGCGTTGCTTACTCCATGACCCCAAAATACACGAGAAATGCTTCGAAGATGTCTATGATCAAATACTAGTGACCTACGAATATTCTCTATTCTTAATGGCCATGTTTCCCACCCATAAAGTAGGACGGGGCGAATTGCTGAGCAATGAACTCATCCTTTGTTTGGGAGACGAACATCTTGCCTGCGCAACAACGGGTGAAGCAAGTTGAAGAATACCATTTCTAAAAAACAGTTGACAACTTACTTTTAAATAAACTTCCACATCGAACACATTTTTACCCACTGCTTCGCCCAAATAATAAATTGCATCTTCTATAGCTTGTTCTTCAGCGAATGAAACAACTAATTGACGATATAATGGAGCAGTCGTATCGAATACTTCATCAATTATGAAATTCGAGTCAGATTTGCGTAGTTTCTCTGAAGTCTCTTCTAAATCTCTAATCTTCCTCTTGACTGATTCCATTTCTGTACAAACTCGATCCTGATAATGTGTACAATTGGAAAAATAAGAAAAAATATAAATGAGTAAAATGGAGAATAAGTTTTGGGAGTTTAACTGGATTCCTTAGCAAATGCGATGTCAAAAAAAGAATTACAGACTGAATGTCCTATGCCAACTATATATGTTATAGATAAGAGAACACAAATAAACTGTGTTGTCATTGTTGTATTCTGTTATACATCAAACAGATCTGAACTAATGACCTATGTACCTAAGCTGCACAAGAGCATGTGACACTTGTATATATACACTGAAATGATCAGTTGTGACAATTTATCCTTCATTCTGAAGGCATATAAGACGGTGGTTTTAAAAGGTTATAAAGTGATTTACTACATGAAATATCTTTTAAGCTAAAGTTACCAGTTTCTAAGTGTAGTATAACCACTATCGTTGTTAAATTCAAGGTTTATGAATTATATCTTCTTTGCGACCATTAATATGATCTTTAAAGACTGCATATTTTACGCACTTTTCAGTTAGTCATAATTTTCGTATACAAACTTTTAGAAGTGTATTTTTAGGTTTGTACGAAGTCCTAGACATTCAAAACTCAAGTTTCTTTTATAAGTCCAAAATAAAATTTGTTACGATTATGAATTTCTGATGAACGAACGAGGTAATTAATCGTTAAAATGAATAGATAAAATACTAACCAATACATGATATGTAATGATACGTGTCCGAGATGATGGCTGCTCTCACAAGACTGGATGATTGACTTGAAACTCCAAATGAGTTTATGCCAGAAACAAGACCACTAACAGATAGAGTAAGCGTTTTTTTATCGAATCAGTTGGCAATCAGTGTCCGTAGGTACGGTATGTGCTTTGCACCTTCGAATTGCAAAGTACTTCTACAAGACTGGCAGGATTGTAATCCTGTACTCACGCTGGATGGTGAGCAGATAGAAGTAGTTGAGAAGTTCGTGTATCTGGGTAGCTGCATAAGTGCTGGTGGTGGCATGAGTAATGAGATCAATCCACGTATAGCGAAAGTCAGAGCGGCTTATGCCAATCTGGGCCACCTTTGGCGTCGGATCTACAACGCGTCGGTGAGAGCAGTTTTGCTCTATGCTTGTGAAACCTGGCCTCTCCGAGTTGAGGATGTTAGACGACTCTCTGTGTTCGATCATCGTTGTCTCCGAAGGATTGCTGACATCCCATGGCAACACCATGTTAGTAATGCAGAGGTTCGGCATCGTGTGTTCGGGCACAGAGATGATAATTCAATTGGTGTCACCATCTTGAAACATCGACTTCGGTAGCTTGGACATGTTCTACGAATGTCGTCCCAGAGAATTCCTCGTTGTACATTATTTGCCGATGTTGGGACTGGTTGTAAAAAGCGTAGAGGTGATCAGTGTATGACATGGTGTCGTGGTATGAAAGAAAGCTGCAAAGGGCTGACTTCTGTTGGTCTTCGGCTCCCTAGTTGGGGTCCGAGAGATGGTGCTACACAGTGGCTAGAGACGTTATCAGATATGGCTGAGAATAGAAGCCAGTGGCGATCCTGCTGTGACCTTTTACTTTCTTCATAAAAAGTGGTTGTGTCTCCCTTACCTGAAAGATTTCTTCCGACTGTACCTTTCCGTTCTCTCATTACTACCACACTACTTTACACCAATCTCTTCGTTATTGTTCTCTTTCTTTTTTACGCTCCTTACCTTTTTCTCTTTTCTCTTCGAATTCTCATTGTTTTGTGTGGCGCATATATATTGGCGCTCTCTTGTACCAATATTCATGTGTTCAAATAAATAAATAAATATCGAATAGAACTGTCATACTTATACGCAAACTATTACTAGGAAAATAAACGTGGCTAAAAGCCATAGCCGATTGAAAGACTTCTATTTTGTGGATCACTTACCCTCCAATGAATTAAGACTCAACTGTTTAGTTCTTTGTTTATTATATCGAAATTGTTCTAATTTTAGAATGAAACTATCAATAAGGATGGTGGAGAAATTTATGAATATTCATCTTATTACATGCTGCTCTTTTTCTTATATTTCCATACAATTATCACCAGCTAACTAGCCTTCTTTCATGAAAATATATGATTGGATTTGTTAAGAATGTGTATTGTGCAAAATGATCATATACCTGTGTTCCTTAATTTCATTATCGAGATTCGCACAAATATAACAACAAAGATGTTGTGAATTATGATTTGATGAGTTTCAATGTATGGTTTGAGGAATTTCAAAACGAATGCATAAAGTTTTGATCGGTAGATATCAAGGGGATTTTATGCCTGACAGCATGCACTGACCATAGTTAAACAACCATTTAAAAACAAGAAGTACTGGACAGCCACTTCGTCCCGGATTAGGACTTTTCAGGACTGTGAACCCACGACCTACTCCACAGAAGATTGAATCTGAGACCTTCAGGAAAAGCGATGAGCGCTTAAACTTTAGAGTACATTGAACTGCCATCTAATGATTTACGTGTTTGATTTTGATCAATTCATGAAGGGAAGAATAGAAACTTCATTTAAATAAAATATTACTTCATATGTATTGGTTGTTTAGATCTTCCCATTGATTTTTAAGACTGCAATTGATCAGTCTCTTTATATATATCCTATGCACTGTTTCGATATTGCCACTAAGTCACAAGCATTATAAACAAAGACGGATGGTGGCTAGCAGTGGAATTCAGGACGCGCGTTCCATCCTAATTGGGATTCGTCAGCTGAATGTACCTACATCCTAGAGTTGATGTTCGCTCCGGGACCTCAAAACATTAACATTCTTTTCAAATGCTATTGTGTTATCCACTCAACTATTCACTGATACCATTTACTGAAGCTGTACAATCGTATTGCGACATGTCTAGTTAATCATTGTTTTATAAGTCCCTAACATCTCTTCTAGTCTGTCTTCTTTCAATAATTAGCAATCAGCAGTAACTGCTCTTAGAATCTTTTTATAAGTTATTATTTCATTGTTGTTGTATCATCCCTCATGTTTTCTTTGCACATGTCAAATAGATAGTGATCTCCTTCACTTTTAACCTGTAATTTATTTTCATCTTATTATTATTCATTGACTTCTAGATCGTTACGCAACTTTTTCGAGACTTGAAATCGGAGAGCATTTTTTGATGTAATTTCTTTTTATTCTTCTATCGACTTATCTATCTGTTATATCCCTATAAACACGATTGTACGGCTTCAATGGATGATATCGTTGAAAAGAAACGTCTTTTCGCTAAACTGTTTTTACTCTTTCAACAAAATAAGGTTACTGACAACTAAACTGAGAAGTATTGATAGGCTCGGGCAATCTAGTTGCAGGCCCGAGTGATATTGAATGACATGACTTTGAATCGGTCGTAATATTGAGAATGGATTCACTTTTTATCTTCCTTTAGATTTTGGGTTTTAAAATTGCTGTTTCCTTTTTGATTCACGAGTTATTCTTATCGAATCACATTGTTTATCAATGAGATCCTGAACCAATCAATGTTAGTTGGAAAACTATTGAAAACCAGGAATCACTGAACAGTCCTTTCGTCCTGGTATGTGACTCCTCGGCAGTATCTATCCAGATCGCCCATACCTAATCTTTCGTATTACAACTGTTATTACTACTACTTCTATTACAATTCTAGTATTTTGTCTTATTTCACTTCACTGTGCTAATATAGGTGCAAATATATGCCAGATTTCCAATGCTGAATACATCTGTTCGTTTACTTTAGTTATTTTCGTTATTTAAAATTATTCACTGATTTACTTTTTCTTGTTGCATTTTATTAATCATTTCTTGAATTTTTTGACCACCACTAAATAGGCCAGTTTGAGTTTGACGTATTGCTTGTAAATCATCTTGATGTTGATAGATTAATTCTTTTTGTACACGACGAACTTGATCAACCACAGCAGTTAATACGGATAATCGTAATTGTTCTTCGTTTAATGTGTCTAAAAAACAAAGAATAATCAAACGAAGAAATATAACAATAAACAAATATCGAATTTTAAATAAAGAAGGGGAAAAGTATAAGATTTAAGTATACACGAACTTTTTGAAATCCAATGTGATTCACTGAAAAAGTAGGATTTTCATTTACTCGGGTTTTAGCCACAAATTTTACATAAATTTAAAAAGGAAGGTAATATTGTAGTGTATGCTACTTTTGTCGACAGATATAAGTAGTATGTAACACCAATCAGAAGTGCAATGCCTGGTAGCAGAAGATTGAATTGTAGGGAACAGGAATGTAAACAGATAGACTGTAATAACAACATAATTATGAAGCATGTAAAGGATAACTGAAAGATGTGCAAATGTATTTAATGTATGATTTTCATATTTTACGAAAACACGGTAATTTTGCAGTAAATAGTAAATTGATTATCCCCATCGAGTTCTCGTTCACTTCAATGAGTAATATTTGGTTGGAGAAGTTTGAATGAGTGAAGCAACTCAGCAGTTAAATTATTTGGTTACTAAACCACAACTCCCTTAATTGCAGCTGCTATCTTGACATGACAGTCAAGGCTTTAATATCGTATTATTATACCAAACAGCTAGATTGAAGTGGACGGTAAGACTAAAAGTAGCAAGCTACGGTCCGAGGGCGGAGTCAATCTATCAACTGTACAGGATTGTGGCGGCGGCAAGATGCTTTCCTCAAACAACCAAAATTTTGAGTCCTCACAACGGAAGGGTTTAGAGGTCAACCCTGAAAAAAGCACACCTTACCACACGGATTTCAGTTGCTGGTGGCCAATTAGTACAGCTAAAAATAACCACAAAAAACCATGGGGACTCTTTCAAGAAGTTATCTCTTGGGCAATGCGACCACGATTTCAGATCAACAAGTACCTGAAAAAAATATCCTCCCACGGTGTGGGTAACCCGTAAGTGATAAATGCACACACGCTCGTAACAGCATTCGGTATCAGCTAGTTCACAATCATACTCTATAGATCTACTATGAGCGCTTATGAAGAAAAAATTGTTTTGGTGCTATTAATGCAAGCTTACAACTAAATAACTTGATTATATATATATATATATATATATATATATATATATATATATATCCAGTTGCGATTCATCTTTTTGATGTCTGCTTCCAATTCTCGATGCAGTGTGTTCGTTGGTTTTCCTCCTTTCCTTTTCTCTTCAGGATTCCCAGTTAGTGCTTGCCTCGTGACGCAGTTTGATGTGCGTCCCATCCATTTCCAACGTCTTTTCCTAATTTCCTCCTCATCTGGAAGCTGGCTTGTTCTGTTACACAGTAGGCTGTTGCTGATGGTACCCGGTAAACAGACATTGAGTACCTTGCGTAGACAACTGTTTAGAAATACATGTACGTTTTTGATGATGGTTGTAGTGGTTCTCTACGTTTCAGATCTGTACAGTAGAGCTGTCTTGACGTTCGTATTGAAGATTCTGACTTCAATATTGGTTGAAAGTTGTTTTGAGTTCCATATGTTCTTCAACTGTGTGAATGATGCTCTTGATTTGCCAATCCTTGCTTTTAGGTCTGCATCAGATCACCCTTATTCATCAATGACGATGTCCAGGTATGTGAAAGTTTTCACCTCTTCCAGAGCTTCTCCATCGAGTGTGATTGGATTGGTGTTCTCCATGTTGTATTTGAGGATCTTGCTTTTTCCTTTATGTGTGTTGAGGCCTACTGATGTAGAGGCTGCTGCCACACTGACTGTCTTCACCTGCATTTGTTCTTGTGTATTGGATAAAAAGATGAGATCATCTGCAAAGCCCAAATCGTCTAGGTGCATTCACGTTGTCGATTGTATTCCGTGCTTCCCCTCAGATACGGACGTCATCATAATTTAATCAACCACTACAAAAATGAGAACGAGTAAGCAGCCTTGTTTGACTCTGGTTTTCATTTGGAATGAGTCTGTCAGCTGTCCTTCATGCACGACTTCTCAGTATAGTCCATCGTATGAATTCTGGATGATGTTGACGACTTTTTCAGATACACCATAGTGTCGAAGAAGTTTCCATAAAGTTCTCCTATCCACACTATCAAATGCTTTCTCATAGTCCAGGAAGTTGATGTGTGGTGACGAATTCCATTCAATCTATTGTTCAACGATGGTCCGTAGTGTCACGATTTGATCTTTGCACCACCTATCCTCACGGAATCCGGCATGTCGATCTCGAAGCTGGGTGTCTACTAAATCTTTCATCTGGTTCAGTAACGCCTCGTTGAGAACTTTTTCCGGTACTGATAGTGTGGTGCCTCTGTGGTTCTCACACTTGCTCAGATCTTTAATTGGTATCTTGATGAGGTGTCCTTTTTCCAGTCCGTCGGCACTTGTATTTCCTTCCAAATCTTCCTGAAACTAATGTGGAGTATGTTTGAAGTTACTTCTATGTGTGACTTTAGTACTTCGACTGGGATATTGTCAGGTCCTGCCGCTTTCCCAGTCTTGATTTGTCTGACGGACATCCTGATTTCTTCGATCGTTGGTGGAGCGACAGCTATAGGAAGGCCTGTAGGTGCTGCTTCGATGTCCGGTGGGTACAGTGTGGCTGGTCCACTAGGGTTTTTCAAAAGGTTCTACCCATTTGTTCCTCTGTTCTTGAACCTCAGTGATTGGCTTGCCTCCTCTGTCCTTGACCGGTCTCTCTGCTATGTTCTTCGTTGTGTCATATAGTTGTTTCATATTTCCTTCCCTTGCAGCTTTTTCCGCCGTTGTTTCTAGCTCTTCCACGTATTTCTACTTGTCAGCTCCAATGCTCATCATCTGCTTGTTTGCCTCTGTGTATTCAGCTTTTGTCTTAACTTTCTCCGCTCTTGTTCAGCTGCTGTTAATTGTTTTCTTCTTGTTCTTTCTTTCTTGAAACTTGACCAGGGTTTCTATAGAGATCCATTCCTTACGACGATGCATCTTGCGACCCGGAACCTCCTGACACGTTGAAGTCAGTGCTTTTCTGATCCCCTTCCAAATGTCTTTCATAGTAGTTTCCTCTTCTTTGAGTGGATCTTGTAAGGCTTGGAACCTGTTTTTGAGAGTTATCTTGAATTTGTTGAGTTTGTCAATATGTCTAAGGAAGGCTGTATTAAACCTTTGTAATGTTGTCTCCCCAGTTGTCTCTTGCTTATTTAGCTTCAATTTCATCTTGGCAACCACCAGGTAATGATCTGAGGCTATGTCAGCTACTCACCTGGTTCTCACGCCTTTCATTGTTCTTCTGGATTTTTTAGTGATGCAAATATGATCGATCTGATTCCCTGTAGTGATCCGGTGGGACCCATGTAGCTTTGTGTATGCGTTTGTGAGGGAATATTGTGCCACCTATAACCATTTTGTTGAATGCATATAAATTCGCAAATCTCTCCCCATTCTCGTTTCTTTCTCCCTGTCTATGTCATCCCATGATATCTTCATACCCGGTGTTGTCCATTCCGACTTTGGCGTTTAGGTCTCCCATCAGGATAATCAGGTCCATTTTTGGGCACTTCTCTATGATCAGTTGCAGTCTCTTTTAAAACTGATCTTTATCGTCGTCGTTGCTATCATTGGTGGGTGCATAACACGGGGTAACATTCATTGATTCCTTTTCTCCTTGTTTTGAAGAGCCTGTGTTCATGAGATTCCCATGCTATAAGTGCATTATGTGCCACTTCAGACAGCATCAGAGAAACTTCCCGAGTGCGCGGATCATTTTCTTCTTCGTGACCAGGGTACCACAGCATCTCTCCTAAATCTAAACTTTCTTGTCCAGATTGGGTCCAATGGGTTTCACCGAATCTGAGAACAACTAAGTTGTATCTTCTCATTTCCGTGGCTATTTGATTAGTCCTTCCAGTTTCCCATATTGTTCGAACATTCCTTGTACCTACGAAGATTGTTGCTGTAGTTGTTAGAAGTGGCGTTTGCTCCGTAACTTCCGAAGAATCTCGGCTCTCACCATAATTCTTCCTTCAACTCGGAGGTCAGAATTTAAATACTCTAGTTTGTTTATTCTGATTGGTGTTTTTTTAGCAAGGATGTTTTTTCTACGGGATGGGGTTGCTGACCCCATTCGCAACCCTCTTCCTTTACCCAGGCTTGGGACCTACAGTAACCCTAGAAGTGCTACAGACGGAATTACACCATGGTAACTGTTAATCAACAATTAAATGCATGGGTCTGAATATCCATCCAGTCTAAACCATAACAAAGCGTATTCTTAACAAAATTACAGTTTATTTAGTCAACGTGGATTTATTTCCGATTATATTTCATTTAATCACATAACTAGATTATTTTACCCATATGTACTGTTAGTTTTTCTTCTAAAACTAAAACGATTAATTTAGTCGTAGACGGAGTCTTCACCTTTGTACTATTTTTAACGACAACGATAGATTGATACACATACACACACGCTTATGGATCTTCACATGATGAACTATTGAACATCAAATTGTCACATGATCTAACTATACACAAAGCAAAAAAATGGTTGGACAAGCACCATTAGTGTGATTTTTATTACTAAACTTTATATACTCTTTGATAATCATTGATTTTGATCATCGCCCTGAAAAAGTTCGGACCAGTTTGCAAGGTGAAACGTTGGAATCATTTGAATTTCAACGGCTAAGATTATTTCGAATATAATTCTCCACAATTAACAACTGATATCACAGTTGACAGAACCGATAAAAACTAGAGAGTATTATAAAACTGTTTAGCACTTTAGTTTGGAATCAAGAAATGACAAGAAGCCAAACTCAGTACTTTAAGATCTCGTTCAGTTTTGAATTAAGAACTAATTTCTGTGTAAAAGTTACACTGAATGTTTAGATTTTAAACTTCCCGTCCTGAGTATAGGCTAAATGTGATAATTACACGTAAAAAATTAATTAGTTAAACTTCGACCAAAACAGTGTGTTTTCCCAGTTATTTATCTTGTAAGACTCTAAATTATCCTAACGTTCATCTTA